AGCTAGTGCAGTAGAAGTAGTTACTTTTTGAGCAAAAATAAGAGGGTAGACAAAAAAACCAGTATCAGAGTTATAGTCTTCTCTCCTTGCAGGACTATCATGTAAAAAGGCAGCATTCAAACTTTTTTCAGATTATATTCTGTGACAGCCTCTCCAGTTTTTAAACTGCCATGGGCAATAAGCAAACGGCAAGTTCTGATTTTAATAATAAATTGTAAAATAGTTTCAGTCAAACTTGTACTGAATTCATCAAAAAATTTTAGATTGACATTTAGACCATCCATTAATATTTGGTATACCTTTTTTATTTTCGTATTTTTAACAATATCTTTAAAACGAGTCGATAAGTTTTAATGTGTTGTATGATCTAAGAAATTTGATCCAAAATAACATTCACACTATTTCTATTAGTATAGAAATAGTGTAAATGTCATGCTTAGAATCAAATACAAATATCCATTTTAGAAGTTTGAGTGAACTCATTTTAAACTCTTATCAAAAGAATAGACATGGATGTCTGACAGTTTTAAAACTTATAATACAAAGCTAAACCATGACTGGTATAAATTTTTGTTTTGAGCCATCTGAAATTTTAAAGTTATGGCACTGTCCGGAAACATAGCTGTAAAAACATGGCTTAAGTTATCGTTTAAACATCAGAAGTGGATTTAAACCCCATCAAGCGCTGCATTTGACGGGGTAAAAAAATAAGTATAGATATTGACATTAAGACGTCTACCACCCGCTAAATATAAGACTGCCGCTTTTTTATTTTTTGTTAAAAAATATCTCTTGAAAAAATTTACAGTGAAAACTATACTTTGCAGAGAATGAAACAACTATTTTACAAAAATTCCTAATGTAAGTCATACTTTGCAGGGAATGAGAAAATTAGAAAATTAGAAAACCTACCAATAAATACTCTCTAAGAAATAACAACCTTTTATATGAGCCTTTTTGTCAAACAAATTTTAACCAATTTTTGCATTGATTATCGTGCACCCCATCTTTGGAACAAAATTGTTTTGCCTAATTTTAATTTTGATCTATATACTTCTTTGCATCTTTTTAAAGTTAAGCTGAAAAATCTTTTTCTCTCCCGTATTATCAAAATTTGACAATAATATTTGTATTATGGAAATATTTATTAAACTTTATTATCTATACTACAAAGTGATATATGTATGCACGGCCGCCGAGAGCTTTTGTGGCGCCCGGGGCATAGCGTTGAGTAGGCGCCCCTTTAAGGTTTTGTGGTTTATCCTCCGCCAGCTAATTGTCTTGTGGAGGCCATATTACCTCGGTCCGCAGAGAATTGTTTCGGCTTCTTAAGGAGCGTCATAACTCGCTCTACGGACTAAGAGTAAGGTGAGTTTGGGAAGAACGAAGATATGTTAGAGTAAAAGGCAGAAGTAGTCGTGTTAGAAAGATAACATAGAGAAAGTAAACAGAATTGCATACGATGTTAGAAGGTGCAATAGTGCTGTTAGTCGAACCGACAAAGACTTGGAGAGTTTACTTGATATGAACTCTTCCTCAACTCTCTTTGTCGTCCCTTTAAGCATACATGATTTAAAAAAGGCGCCCCATACATGATTTAAAAAAGGCACTCCTTTAAGATACATGATTTAAAAAAAAATTATTGAATTCATTCATGCATATATATATGACTGTACACAGTTTTAAAATGAATTTTCTTAATTGTGATTTATTTCTGTTAAAATCATTTTACGGCAAAATTTTCAAAAAATGCGTCTATTAAAAATACAACTTAGCAACGCAAATACAACATAAAGTGCATTATTAGACATTCTTTAGAAATTAAAATAACAAAAAACGGCCTTTTCTTGCTTTTTTACCGGCAAAATTTATTGTAGTATCATCATATGAAAGAATCTTAGCCAATTTATTTTTCACTGAAAGCATCATGAGATCCGAAAGACGATCTTGTCCCATAGTGGCCCTACAATAATTCTTTATCAATTTTAGTTTACTAAAGGATCGTTCACCCTAGCAACAGATACTGGCATTGTATTAAAAATTCGAATTAAGATGCATACATATGGAAAAATAGGCTGCAGACTCTTTGAATGTATTTGATTAAGAAGGTTCAATGAGTTTCTAGGAATAAAAAACGAAGACTCCTTCAAACAATTAAAATGCAAAATTTCTTGTATGAAGTCGTCTTCTTTGACATCATTAGCGTAGAACTGTGCTAATTCACGAGCTTTGATCTCTTGAGAACCTGTTTCCTGGTCTTTCAGCCAAATGAATGAGAATTTTAAAGAAACACTCTTTACTATGTCTAATCTTGACTGAATTTGATAAATAAAATGATCAAGAGCGACGTTAAAGATGTTTCCCTCAAATTGAGGCTCTGATTGCAGAAAGCTTCATTTTCAAGTTCATTGTGATACCGTATCACTTCTTTCGTTTTGCCAAAAATTCCGTTTCAAAGCCTAGAAGATCTGCAGCAGTTTCCGCTTCAGTCAAAAAATTATTCCATGATGAGCGGATGCGGCCAAGATCGCTTATTAGCTGTTGAATTAGAATAACTTCGTCATCTATTGTTAGTGAAGTTGCCTGGAACAAACGGCTTACTTAATCTACTACTTGAAGAACTTTATATCAAAAGGTTAGAAGCACAACAGTCTCAAAGGATTTATATAAATTTATCAAAGACTTAGCTTGATTTAGCATTTACTTATTTATATATCGTCACATTAGAATTTTAGGGTTCTATCTGCTTTTTTTTATGTTGTGAGAACTTAACTTTCAATATTTATTTGATAGATGTTTTACAGCTGTTATTATAATTATAAATTATAAGTTGTTTATGTTATCTATATTTCACTATTTAACATATTTTATATTAAACTACTCAAAAAATGATGTATAATATATCATTTTTTAAGTGGTTTGTTTTTTATTATTAATTATTAATTAAAACTTTGGTGTTTAAATTCTTTCAACATAAAACAATGCAGATAGAACCCTATAATTCTCATGCGACGATATTTTAACTTTGTTTTACTTTTACTTTTTTTAATTTTGATATCTTTAAAATAACTTTTTAATTTATTCTTTTTTGTTTTCTTTTTTCTTTTCGCTTTTCACCTTTAAATAAGCAGATTTGCCATTTGAGATGCAATTGCATAGAGTGACATTGAAATATGCACTTTAATACTTTCGTGAGATTATATGTTAAAGCCTTACTGCACTTATGTACGACCTATGCTTGAATATTGTTCTTTCATTTGTATGTTTTCATTTGTATGTTATATGATTTTCATATACATATAATATATGGAAAAAAAGAAGAAACGAAGGTTATGCAACTTTTGCATCAAATTGGTAAAACACTGCTATTATGTTTCGAATTAACAAAACAATTTCAAGAACATTTTCAGAACATTTTCAATCAAAATTTAAGCCATGTTTTAATGTTAAAATTCTAATTGAATGTTATATTGTACTCTATTGAATTCTAATTGCATGTTATATTGTACTCTATTGAATTCTAATTGCATTTTTATATTGTACTCTACATATCATGATTTAACATATACATATCATGATATAACATGACACAACGGCGTTGTGTCATGATTTAACTAAAATAAAAATAAAATATACATACATACAGGGCCGCAGAGAAGGGTGGGGGGCAAAGGGGGCATACGTGCCCCGGGCGCTAAGATAATTGGGGCGGCAAAAAATGATAAAAATTTTTTTTTCAAGTGTCTATACAATGTTTAACTTTTCATTTCAATGTTGTGTTATTTAATATGATGTTTTTATAGCATAATTTCCAGGGCTGTGGAGTCGGAGTGGCGGAGTAGCGACATTTTTAGCGGAGTCGGAGTCGCTCAACAAAATCGCGATTCCGACTTCAACTCGGTATTGCACGTGCATGGTCAAAACATTCAATTAACCTTTTATTAATAATAAACCTCAAAGAACGTTTCATAAATTTGTCAAAAAAGAAACTTTTAACTTATCGCGTAATAAGACCCTTAGCAGGGTGATAAGACGCAGGGTGATAAGACGCATAAGCAGGGTGATAAGACGCATTTTCTTCTACTTGCTCCTGTCAGAATATAAAGATTAAATTTTTAATTTTTACAAAAAACATTATAAAATGATTGTTTATTGACGAAATATAATAATTAAAATAAAAAAAATAATTTTAGCCTTAGTAACATCTAACTTTTTGACGCACGAGTCTTTTGTTTTTCTGTAATTGACTCATTAGAATTAGAAAAGACAGATGCACAGTGGGCCATGGTGTGCCAAAAGTCAAAATTACTTTTATTCAATTTTTGTATAAAAAACTTCTATTCAATGAACGTAACATATTGATTTACATAAAAACATAAGGGTTGTTGATCAAAAAATGCGCCTTCACCAAATTTTTTTAATTTTAAGTTGTCACCCTGAACAATATTTTTGACGGTCAAGCGCTTTTCTAAAAAAGTTTTAAAAAATATTTTTTTAATATGTTTTGCCATTTAATGTTAGGCAATTTATATTACCACGAGCTTGAATTGTAGTTTTAATACATATATTGGCTATCAATTGGCATTTCTGTTTATCGTCTTGAACGTATTTGACTCTTTTTATGATCTATCAAAGATAGTGTGTTTAATGGTTGAAATAATTGCGTTTATTTTTTGCTAATACTATGCTTATAATTTTTCGGCCATGTTTGGCCAGGGTTTTTATAGCTGATAATTACTGAAAAAAATATATTTAATGAGTTAAAAACAGTTTTAGTTGCAGATACTTGCAGATGTAGAATATGTAACTAAAACATTACACATGATTTTATACCGTGACAACTGTCAATAAAACATTTTTTTTATGTTACTCTATATCATTGATTATACAAAAACCCTATATAACTATATTTAACATATGTTATATTATATAATATAATATAAACTTTATATATATATAGACACACATATATATAGGTTGACTTTTCTATTTTTAGAATAAATAACAATATAACAATGAAGTACTATTATATATACAGTTGCATTAGATCCAATAATATGTCTATACAAGATCCCACAATTTATGATCAATTAGTTGTCAAGTTAGACTTGGATGATTCTGAAATTATAAGAAACAAATTAATTGCATTCTTAAAGAACTTGAAGACTCGTTGGAATGATGTTAGTCGCAAAGCTGCAGCTTTTGAGAAAAAGTATGCAAATTGGTTGGATACTGACTTTATATCTTCTGCATATGTTCCACCTGCTACTCCAACAATTGTTACCACTCCTTTTGGAAGACCTACTTTGAATTTTGATGAGTCCTCTTTGAGATCTAAGTATAGAAAAGTTGCTGAAATGGATCAATACTCTGCTAGCCAACTATTATTTGCAACTAAAGTGAAATTTAGAAAAGATAATCAGCCTAAAAAAGCTAAATTAGCAGAAAAATTGTTAGTGGATACTATATCCCCATCTTATATGTCTAGTGATGAAGCTTTGGCCCTTATTTTAGATTGTAATTTAACAAAAACATCTTATCAACTGATGAAAAACAAAGCTGATGAAAAGGAATGCAGTCTCTACCCAGCATATAATAATGTTAGAATGGCAAAAGATCGATGCTATCCTAAAAATATATGTGTAACTGATTATACTGCTAGTGTTCCACTTCAAGATCTACTGGATCACACTACAACAAGACTTTTGGAGACACAGACTGGTGTTGTAAATGCCAATGAGTATAATAGAGTAACCCTAATATACAAAGCTGGTTTTGATGGCTCAAGTGGGCATAGTATTTATAAAAAAACATGTAATGATAATGAGTGTACTAGGAATCTAAAAAGTGTGAAGAATCTCTGTTTATTACATGCTTTGTACCTTTAGAACTCTCATCTATTGTTAATGATAAAAAGATTATTCTTTGGAGAAACTCTAAACCATCATCTACTTTGTACTGTCGACCTTTGCGATTTAAATTTGTAGAGGAAACTGCAGACCTTCTTCGTAGTGAGGAATTGACATTAAAAAATGAGATCAAACAGCTAACTAAAACAAGCTATATCCTACTTAATGGTAAGCCTAATGATGTTGACAATAAAATTGAAATTACTATGATTGATGGAAAAGCCCATACTGCATTATCTGTTGTAACTGACTCATCACAGTGTTGCTCTCTTTGTGGTGTTAGTCCTAAAGAAATGAATGATATTGACAAGGTATATAGAAAATATTGTATATATAAACTTGTAGAAAATCACTCAACAAAATTTTTTTATTTAACACTGTTTTATCAATAAAGACTCATCAGAATTGCATCATTTCTGATGAGTCTTTATTAATAAAACACAGTGTTAAATATCATTGCTCTGTTCTTTTAAGAACATTATTACATTTTAAAATTTGTTTATATATATATATATATATATATATATATATATATATATATATATATATATATATATATATATATATATATATATATATATATACCTATATATTTGTATACCTTTTTATATTTGATTAGTTTAAAATGCAGTTTTTATTTATTACAGGTGTTACTGAAGTTGCACACTCAAAATGGATTACAATATGGGATTTCAATTCTACATGCATGGATACGAACATTCGAATGCTTAATCCATATTGCTTACAAATTGTCAGTTAAAAAATGGTCAGCAAGATTGCCAGCTGACAAGCAACAAATCGAAATGCAAAAGAAAAAAATTCAACTTGCTTTTCAAGAGAAGATGGGATTGATTGTCGATAGGCCTAAGGCTGGCGGCTCAGGAACATCTAATGATGGCAACACCTCCAGAAGAGCCTTTCAGAATGAACAACTGTTTTCGGAAATCACAGGACTTAATTTTGAACTTATCAAAATGTTCCATGTTGTTCTGAGATGTATTTCATGTGGTTTTGAGCTTGATGCAGTTTTATTCAGGGAATACTGTACACATACAGCTAGGTTTTACATGGAGTGCTATCCATGGTATTATATGCCGCAAAAATTCACAAAATAATAATTCATCCTCCCAGTGTTGTTGATTACAAGACATTACCAATTGGGCTCTTAAGTGAAGAAGCTATAGAGGCTCGGAATAAAGATTTTAAAAAGTATCATGAGCATTTTACACGCAAGTGTGACCGTATCAAATGTAATGAAGATTTATTTAAGCGGTTATTTTGTTCTATTGATCCAGTCATTTCTTCACTAAGAACAATAGTTAGTACTAAGAAGAAGGTTTTGCCAGAAGGTGTTCTGCAACTGTTAAAAAACAGTGTTTAGTTGTTCTTTTTATGGAATTTTACAGGCTAATTTTTGGTTTCTTTAGTTATTATTAAAATTTAAGTTTATGCATTGTAAATTAAAATTGTTAATATTCTATAATTAACATAAATTAAAAAATTCCCTCATACATTTATTTGGAACACCAGAGCATTAAAAATCCTATTTTTTAATAATTAACAGTAAAAAGTCAAGAATTTGTATAAAATTGACTGTCACTATAAAAATATATAAGATGTTATATGGATACCTCATGCTATGGATACCTCATTATGCATATGCATAATGAGGTATCCATAGCAACCAAACTAAATATCATAATATAAAACGCATACCTCGTATTGGTACTCTTACCAAATTTAGTGTGTATGACACACAAAAACAACTACAAGTAGGTTTATGTTACGCCAAAATAAGTATCCATAGCAACCAAATAAAAAAAAAAACACCTTTATAAGAAGCGCAGACCTTACACTGGTGCTCATGCCAAATTTAGTGTATATAGCACACATAACAATTCTGCAACTACAAAAAGTAGGTCGTTGCAATGCAAAATTTCGGTATCTATAGCAACTAAATAAAAAATAACATCTTAATAGGAGGCGCAGACCTTACACTGGTGCTCGTGCCAAATTTAGTGTATATAGCACACATAGCAAATCTGCAACTACAAAAAGTAGATTGTTGCTATGCAAAAAAATAGGTATCCATAGCAACTAAATAAAAAACAACACCTTCATAAGAAGCTCTGACCTTATATTGGTACTCATGCCAAATATAGTGAATGTAGCACTAATATTGAATTAGTTATTAATTTTGTCTCAAAATTGAACATTCTGGCCCACTGTGAGATGGTAAAGTACTTTTCTCTTTTGGTTTTGCAAAGTATTCTTTAACTTTTCTTTATTCTATATTGTACTTTGCTTTTTTTCCGTGATCTGTCAAAGCAGAGCGTCCACTTGAAGAGAGTTTTATTGACATGTGGCAAACCACACATCTTGCTTTAGTATCTTTCTTTAGCCAATCTTTAAAGTTATCATCGCTCAACCAGCCATCTTTAAATTGTCTTTGATACTTTTTTTAACTTGATATTTACATTAAGTAAAACAACAATACTAATCTAAATTAAAAGTATAAATCTTTAAAATATAATATTGGAATAAATATTGTTGGTAAGATTTAAAATCAATTTGCACAGCAGTTCCGCTGGCTAGAAGATCATGCTTTACAAGATTTCAAATGCTAGACGCTTAGCTCAGACTGCTGTTATAAAATAAATAGCTGACAGTTTCGAAAGTTACTGTTGCTCTAAAGCCGTTACTCTATATTTAACAAAAATATCGGTCCATGACAGGCGGATGACTCGTTTAGAATATGAAACAGTTTTTAACAAAACGAATAATAGCGAAATCGCGATCAACTTGAAAATGCAGTTTTTTTTCATAAGTTCCCCAAAAGTAAACTTGAAGTATAAATATTACGCATTGTCATTTCCTTCAACAAATTCAATTTTGTGAAAACTGTATACTAAAGATTCTCATTCTTCTGGTTGAAAGATCAAGAACTGGTAAAAATTAAATCTTGTGAAATAGAAGATAACTTTATGGAAGATATTTTGCACCTTAATAGTTTGAAAGAGTCTTTATTTATCACTATGGAAACACATGACTATTTCTCAACTAAATATACTCAAGGATCTATAGCCTATTAAGGTGAGTTTCCACTCATCCGGAACGGGATAAGAACGGGAAAAATAATCACGTGAGCATGCGTAGTTTTACTTCGAACATATTAAAACTTATACTACGCATGCCCACGTGATTATTTTTCCCGTTCCCGTGAAAAAACGGATGAGTGGAAACTCGCCTTTATGTATATGCATTCTAATTTGAATTTTTTTAACGCGATGCCATCCCGTCGCAGATGGTGAACGACCTTTTAGAAAACTAAAATCGATTTTACAAAAATTGTAGGAACATGAGCGTCTATCGAACATACACGTTGAAAATGAATACAACTCTGTTGTAAGATGACATAATAACAATAACTTTTGCTAATAGAAAAGCAAGAAAAGATTTTTTTTTCAAAGAGTCAATTAATCTTAATCAGTGAATGTTGAATGTGCTTCATAAGTGTTACTTAATCAAAATGAGGTTCGTGAAAACATGGATGTAAAGTTACGGTATTACAAATAAAAACGCAGTAACTTGTATAGTTGCATATAATTAATCAGATATAACTACAATTCTTCAAATGATAAGTTTTAATCTAAAAATTAAATTAAAAAAAGAGCTAGGTATTTTTAGATCAAATGCTCCGGATACATTCGAAGAAACAACGGATGATTCATTGATTTCGATAACTAAAAAATAAAGTGTTATTAATAAATAAGTATTTATGCGCTTTGAAAAAAGAGAAAACTTTTACTATATTTAATAAACTTTGCTAAAAACCAGCTCCATTCATTTAACAATAATTTATACTTTCATGTTTATAATACTTTTTTAAACCTAATTCTCATATTTGTTATATATACTGATATGTAATATTTCATAACTAATTTGCGAGAAAGGTTTTATTATTACCCTTAAATTTTCAATATATACTTTGTCACAACAGGTTATTTGACAAAAGTATTTCATTGTTATTTCTATATTATAAAAATTTATCTTCAATAATGTATATAATACTTAACTTAAAATGTTAATTTGAAAATATTAGTGATTATTTATTTGGTTTTTTATATTTAATTTGACTGATTTTTCCAACTTCAGTAAGTAACCAAGGTAAAAAATTTTATTTTTTATAAAATAAAAACATTTTAAAACAATATTGACAGTATAGACAGATTGACAAATTTTAATTTCTGAAAACAGAAATGGACAAGATGTTATAAATCCGAATAATTTTAATAGCAAATATAAGTAAACGGTTTATAATTTCTGCATAATATTCAGAAAACTAGATTGGGTCTTAGTCATGATTAAAATTTCATAAGTTTCAATGTCAAAGTTATTTTTGCATTTTAGCTATGGTATTAAAATGTAAACTTCAAAAGAGCTTTCAAGAATTTTAATCAGAATCACATGATGCCAAATTTTGCTCTAGTGTTGCTAGCAAAAGTCATATACACTGCGACCATTTTCTATAGGCGCATGTGGATTATGTCTTAAAAACGTACTTAACTTTATTTTTATAGTGTATTTCAATAAATTATAAATAAAGTATCAAAAAATAATGAAAATTATTAAAAAATAATATCAAATTTGAAAAGAGGTCAATCATAAATGAATTAAATTCAAAAGATAGCTGACTATTTTCTATATACGCAGTTCATATTTTTTAACTAAACTATCAAAAAAATATATTTTTATCACATTTTTAGTACTCGATTGGACTTCCTTTGCGCTCAATTACTTGATAAATTCGTTTTGGCATACTTCCCACCAAGTTTTCCAGCACTTTTGGCTCCATATCCTCCCAGCATTCTGATACCGCTACTTTTAGCTCTGCCACAGAGTTATATTGCTTCTGGTCAGCATATATACGTCTTACAATGATTCCCCAGATATTTTCAACAGGATTCAAATCTGGACTGCGAACAGGCCACCACATTTGCTCGATTTTTTTAGCTTCAAACCAAGCTTTAGTCTCGTTACTAGTGTGAATGCTGGCGTTGTCTTGTTGGAAAACAAACTTTTTGCGTCGATATTTGTTTTTAAATGGAATCAAACATGATTTTAGCACATCAATGTATTCAGAACTTTTCATTTTGCAAGATGTAAATGCTAAATTTAACTTTTCTGTTGCACAAAACCCAAGCCAAACCATCAAAGATCCACCACCGAAATTCCTTGTTGAAAAATATTTGGGTTCTCTCCTTAAATCACGCCAGTAGCCACTAAAACCATCAGGCCCATCAAGATTAAACTTTTTCTCGTCCGAAAAAATCACCTGGTATTGAAAACAAAAATATTCAGCTATTTAGACATCTTACGTATTCATGAGAATTTAATCTAAAACTTCTTACTTGTTCCCAATTGCGTGCCATGTTTTCGCGGGCGAAAACATGGCAACGCAAATTGAAACCTTAGATTTCTTTGGTTTCCTCTTGATTGTTGCATAATTTGCTGGATTTTTCAAGAAATTACGTATAACGTGATCTGATCTCTTCAATCTTCTAGCAATTTCTCGATTTGGAACTATTTCTCGATGAAAAGCCAATATTTGACCTTATTCAATATCGGTAAGGACCTTTCCTTTCGGCATTTGGTTTAGTTCAACTTAATTTCGACTCACAAAATAAAAAATACCACAGAATATAAGAAATTTGCGAAAAAACTCGTAAAAACTTTAGTGCGTCTATAGAAAATTGCCACGTGAATATTAAAAATTTAATTATTTTAATACAAACAAGACAATAATCAGATGCATAATGGATCATCGTTTTCTTACGTATACTTATTAAAAAGTACCGTAAGGACAATTTTATTACCACTGTAACACTGTAAATCCGCTAAATGCGGTAGTGGTGTAGTGGTAGAGCGCTCGCTTCATAAACGAGTGGTTCCGAGTTCGATCCCCACCACGTCCCTGGTAGTACCGCGCTCAACTCGTTTCTCCGCGCAGCGGCCTTGCTCGTCAAGGTTCGTGTTTCGGAGTTATAGAGTTGAGAGAGGGTTATAACCACAAATAAGTAGCCTCCTCGTCTGTAGTGGCCTTCTCGGCCTTGAGGAGGTGAATTAAAAAATAAAATAAAAATAAAAAATAAAATTCGACATGCGTCTATAGTAAATGGTCGCAGTGTACTGTTATAACAACATAAAATTTTGCTCTAGTGTTGCTAGCAAAAGTCATATACTATGTTATAACAACATAAAATAACCTAAAAACAATAACAACTTAACGCTAGCTAAAGTCATATACAATGTTATAACAACATAAAATAACCTAAAAACAATAACAACTTAATAACAGTATTAAAAAAATTGTTAATTAGTATTTTGTGAACTTAAAAACTTATTTTTCAATTAACTTGAAAGTTTATTGTGACTCTGAATGTTATTTCAGGAATGTTATTTCATGTAATGTTATTTCAGCAAGCTCTTCAACTAAAATAGCGTTGTGATCACTAAATAGTATTAAAAAAGTTTTCAGAAAAATACATATTAAAAGTTTTAAGCATGTTTTTTTGTGTAAAAATAAAAAAATACAAACCAAAATCTAATGATCTAATTTATGTTTTATCAAATCAGCAGCTTGTTGAACAGTAAATATTTTTTCTGCTTCATCGTCAGAGATTTCAATACCTTGTTTAAAAGAAAAACAAAATTTAATCTTTTACTAATATGTACAAATAATGTAAGAATAAATACTTTATGTGGAAAATATTAAAATATTTATATAGATTATACAAACAATTTAGTCATCAGACTACAGAAGACAAAATATTTTTACAAATGTTCATTCCCAGGCATAACTTCTATGATTTTCTAGAAATATTCATGATTTTCAATGATAAAATTTTTAATCTTAGCCTGGCTAAAATTTGTAAACATCAACTGAAGGCTACATATATAATAGGTAAGTCAACTAGGCTTACTTTTTTCAGAACATTGCGAAATTAAAGTTTTTCCACTGTTTCCCCACTAATGTTTTCCCATTAACTTTATTCAACAGTTCCAAAATATTTTTTAGCAAAATTTTATAATTGCTCTGAGTCTGGTCCCAAAGCAATACTGGTATCAAACATTCCGGTTATATTGATATTGCTTTGAAAGTGATGGTATTATTTGATAACGCAGCTCAATTCTTTGCGAGAATATATTATTTTTATTATTTTCTTTTTATAAACAATAAGTGAATTTGTATTAACTGAGTTATATTATTGACTCATACAACAGGTCTTGTAATAAAGTGCTGAGCATTTTATGTAAGCAAAGAAGGATTTCAAGTTATGCTATTTATGCTGTGCTAAAAAACTTTTTGTTCAGAAATATTTAAATAACTCTATAGATATTTTAAGGTGTATTTTAATAAATTTTACTTACAAATAAATTTTATTTACAAATAAAATAAATTCAGATAAATAAAAATAATAAAGTTTGAATTTTTATCAAACAAACTTTTTTAATCGAAATATCAAAAAAAATCAAAATATTCAGCAAGAGATGAAAAGCTAGTGTTTTAATAGAATGTTCATATATGAAATGTAAAAAATTTTAAAAAAGTAAATTTAAGCAAAAAAACATGCTAATTTTATAAGTTGGATTTGTTCAGGCATTGGAAATACAACCAACAATAAAAAAATACTTTAAAAAACATTACTTAAAAAACTTTACTTTTAACTAACTTAGTTTAGACAGACGTTCATTAAAAGCATGTATGCTTAAAACAAGTTAGCTTATATACACAATATATATCTCATATTTAACCATTTTTTTGGAAATATCTATTGTTTAAACCTATAAGACCTTTATTCCACTATTTTATTTTATTTTACTAGAAATGAAATTCCTTGTAAACATTAAAAATATGTTGTTTAAATGACACAAGTGTTAATAACTTATTTGAATAAAACATGCGTATATCAAAATGATTATTTTGTAAAAAAAAAATTACATAAAATTGCTGGTAATTTTTCTTTCCTTACAATACTTAAGTTTTTCTGTCTAATGGGGGTAAAGTGAACTAGTCTTTTTGTTATGTTTTTTCATCAAATCTTTTTAGTAGAACTGCATATATACATTGTAATTACTAAACTAAATTGTTTACTCTTGAAATAAATGTTAGCTGTAGAAATTTTCTTGAAATTTAATTCAGAAATATAATATATTTAAAATAATGCCAAGAAATTGCATTAAAAAAAAGAACCTCGAAAGAAAACATGCACTTAATTTGGTATCACATATTTAATTCTCAGTAGGTACACCATCAAACATATGCACCTAACTTGGCTAACTACAATTTTTTGATGGTCATGAGTCATATTTTTTTAGAGACTATTAAAAAAGCAATTGAAAATTATATAACTATTTTGTGATTGCCAGCACATTGCTCGTATCTGATACAACCACTTTATGTGGGAGTTTTTCGTCAAGTTAAATATGTATGGCATGAAATTCTGGCTAATTAGTATACCGAGTCATGGCTGAAGGTGGTTGGGAAGTCTGTTTTTTCATCTTTATTTGAAAAACTTTATGATACCTCTTTTAAGCCAGCTCATTTAGTAAAATCATTTGCCAAAACTGGAATTTTTCCCCTTGATCCATCTACTATATCATCTGACAAGTTAACTCCTAACGAAATCTATCAACACCCTTTTTCTCAGAAAACAAATAAATGTGACAACAACACCCCTCAATACATCTATTTGAACACCAATGGCAATAATCAAAAATACTAGTGAAAATTTTTTTTATTGTGAAATCAAAAAACAAATACAGTTTCCACAAAACTATAAGAATAAATCCGAAAAATATTTTTAAGAAATATTCGTGAAAAATCAGGAAATAAAATTTTTATGTAACTAAGAATATCTCATGTGCTTCAAAAGAAATGTTTTGGCAGGCATCCTTTTATATAAATTTTTTATTTTTATTACCCTTTTATAAAAAAGACAAGTATTTCAATACTTATTTAATAAGAGTTTATAAATAAAATTAAATTAGATTTTTAGGTGAAAATGTCAAAATAATTAAATTGATCTTAAAGTGCCAAATTTTTTTTCAGAAGGTAAGTGCCGGCTCTTTTATTTTTTTTGGTGTGATTAACCCTTTTGTAGTTATTAAATGATGTCAAACAAAAAAACTCAAATACTCTAGTTAAAAACGTCATATATGGGTTTACACTTTTACAATTAATTTTTATCTAGATCAGGCATGTTAAACTCAAATCCAAACGTGGACTAAATAAAATTTAAAATTTTAGGTGGGCCCCAAAAAAAAATTAAAAAAAAAAATTTTCTTGAAGAAATCCTCTATGAACTTTTTTTAAAAATAAAAACTGAAACTACAAAATAAACAGTATATATATATATATATATATACATAATACATATAATATATAATAAAATGTAAAAAAAAAACAAATAAAAATAGCAAGCATAAATGCTTTAAAAGTCTAATTTATATTTGATTTATTAAAAAAAAAATATTGTGCTGTAACTAAAAGGTATGTAAATTTAAAAATTATGACACAAGTTCTGCTGATAAAATCTTAAAACCAAAATAACTATTTTTATTTATTAATTTGGACTTTATCTGACGGTAAATAAAATCATAATATTTTGAATTATAATAATAAGTGAAAATAAAATTAAGTAGAGAAGCGCTATTCTTTGTTTAACAACAATTTTTATTTTGTCACAAGTCTCCAGTTGAACTAAAATCTTAGTGTTTTTTAACGAAGAAAAGGCCTTACCTGTGAAATTGTGTTAATGGTTAAAAAGACCTCTGTGGTAAGTACATTTATTATTAAAACCAGATATTTTACTTCAAATAATATTAGGCATATTTATGAAACTAATATTAACCTCTCAATAATAATGGAAAACAACCGGAAATAATATCAAAACAACAAATGCTTGTCTTTTTGCTAAGATCTCAATAAATAAATTGTTTTGGTTATTTTAATATACTCAAAAAAAATTTTTTTCAGAAACTTAAAATTTCCAGAAAACTATTTGGACATCTGGAAAAAAAAGAAATTTATAAAAATATCTGGAATTCCGGAAAAATCCAGAAAAAGATAATTCCTGGATGTAAATTATTTTAATGGAAGTATAACCATAAGAGAAATAGTGAAAGAACAGTTAATAGCTACAATGGATGATGTTTGTTCATACAACAAGTGAACTACAAAAAAAATAAAAAGACGCTATGGAGGCGAGTGTCTTCATTATCAGAAGATGCTTTTTAAAAGATTAAATGATGAATAAAATAAATGCTTTAAAAGAATATTCAAGCAGCAAGGCAAAATACAAAATAAAAATAATAATTTATCAAAAATAACAAACACAGAGTTAAAGATTTCACTTTAGAAGTAGTTCACTTTACCCCAATGTGGGGGTAAAGTGAACTAGTGAATATGTTTTTTTTGAATATATTTAGTATTGTAATATTAATTTTTAATCTTAGTATATTATTTCATGTTGTACCTAATATTTTAAATAGTATAAATTTTGAAAACTTCAAGATGTTGGACTTTTTTTGTGGATAATTTTCCTTTAAATTTGGAAATCAGTTCACTTTACCCCAGTTTACCTTACTTGAAAATAATGTTTTCGCTCTTCAGTATAAAATGCAGCTGACCACAGAATCATGGTTGGCTAAATTTTATGAAGCAACTAAACACCAGAAGAATATATACATATATATTCGATATATTACTGTGCTCAAGTAATTTCTCTGGGCAGCGACTTTGTTTAACAAGCTTCACAATTTGGAGTTTAGGGTTGAGAGAGAGTAATAATTAAATATACTTTTTATATTTCTTCTATTATATAAGAAAACATAGTGGAAAAAAACAGTTACATTAAATATAAATAAATTACCAAATTCGTCTTCAAATGCCATAACAACTTCTACAACATCTAAACTGTCCAAACCGAGATCATTTATAAAATGGGCTTCTAAAGTAACCTAAAAACAAAAGATTTTATTTTTAAAGCATAAGTATTTTAAAAATTTAAACATTACAAAAGTATATATTCAATAGAATCTTAACAATCACAAAAGAAGAAAAGTTATATAAAAATTTCAAAAATAATTATTTCACATAAAAAGCATATTATCATTTAATGACAAAAGGAAAAGAATTGGCAAAAAAGATTTTTTTTTAGAACTGCGAATTTTACTACTTCATTACTTTTTAATGAAGTAGTAAAATTTTCATACTATTTAATGCAAGTCAATGCACGAAAAAGATTGTATGTAAAAGTTTTAAGAAAATTAAGATTTTGATCTGTCTCTTCAGATATTAGTTTATTATTTATGCAAAGAATTATAAGCAATTATAAAAGTGTTTTTAAGAATGTTTGTGTGAATCTTTGTTTTTAATTTGTTGGTCAGATTTTTATTTACACTGAACTGTCATTCTAAAGAAAACAAAAAAAAGACAATTTTATATAGATACTTATACAGCTATTTAAAAAAAATACTTTTTTCTCATTTACATGTTTGTAATGAGAAAAAAGTACTTTTTTGTGAAAAACATGTAAATGAGAACAAAAAAGTACTTTGTTTTCATTTACATGTTTTTCACTTTGATTTTAATGAAAAAAGATTTAGTTAAACTAAATCTTTTTACACTTTTTTTTTTCTTCTTTTGGCATCTGTTTAAAAAGTTAGGTTCGGTTGAGAAACTGAAAAAATTTATAATAGTGAACAAAAATGACAGCATAATTGAAAAATTGAAAAAATTATTCATGAAAAAATTTTATTCATAAAAATTTATTTACACACATTTTATTTTGGTAATGAGCAGTTTACCAGCAAAATTTAAGTTTTTTTGTGCAATATCAATGTTATAAAAAAGTTATTTTAAAATAAAAAAAATCAACAGTTAATTAATGCTAGTTATTAAATTAACAGTTCTAATTAATTCATCTAATTTAAATTAAACCATGCTTCAACATAAAATTATAGAAAAACTTATATTTAAGGAATAGACAATATTTGCACACAAATTTTTACAACTCTGGCATGTTAGTTTACCAAAATAGTATTCATCACCTTTCAAAATTTTTTTATTGAAAAACAAAAAAAAGCATGTTAAAAATATAGTGATAGTTCTGCATATTTCTTTTTATTTAAGGATTGCATTATTTACATCGATTCACTCAATATTGCTTTAAAGGAAATGGCTTCAGAAGAACAACAAATATACCTAGGGAATCAAAAAAAGATCTGCAACATTTTAAAATATGTTTAAAAATTTTATTTAATTATTCAATTAAAAAAATTAAAATATTAATTACAAAGAGCAAATTAACTTAAATTTACCGGATTGCAAAAATTTTTGCAAGAAAATCAACAAATTTACTGCTACAAAAATTGTCAAGTTCTTTATGTATGTTTTAAATTAAAAATTTTAAATTTTAAACTAGTATGTTTTAAACATCATTTGCATAAAAAAGATGTTAATCCAGATAATATGAATACAGGAGGATAATACTTATTGTTATATGCCAAAATTTAAAAAAAAAGAAATAATCAAAAATAATATTCACCTGACCAAACTATTTTGTATTAACATTTTAAAACATAATAAAAATTTTTTGTAATAAACTTTTTATTACAATTACTTCAAATAATATACTTTTAAGATTTTAAGAAAACTAAACTGCTTTGGGTCACAATTTGCAATCGCTCAATTCAACTAGAGATTTTTTCTAATTTTAATTAATAATTCCATTTTCTCAATTTAGCCAGCGCTTAAGGCTTTTCGCGCTCGCCCACACACCCGCAAATACTTTGGCGAGTGCATAAAAAAGCGCTTGCCAAAAAAAATAAAAGTGTTTTATTTTAAATTGCAAAAAAACTTTTTTGTTCATTTGTTTAACTTTTATGAAAAAAGGCCTTTTTTTAACCAGTTTTTTTGAATTATTTTAAGTAGTATTTATTCAAAGTAATATTTTCGCTATTTTTATTTCAACTTAAATAGCAGGAAAAAAAGAATTATTTAAATCGCGCAGGCTAAATTAGAAATGACCACCCTGCCAGTGCTTTTTTGTGCGCTGACATTAAATTATAATTGGAGAAAACTGAATTATATTACCTAATTATAGGTAATGTATAAACAACATTTATTAGATGTTTGATAAACTGTTAAATTTTATTATTACAAAATATTGAATTAGGTTAAATTATTAAATTTTTATAATTTGGATATGGTTAAAGACTTTTTTCTACTAAAAACAAGTTGTTTTTTTCAAAAAAAAGCTTTGAACTTTGATTTTTTTTTTAATTTTCAAAAACTTCTTTTTTTAAAATATAAACACAGGGTTTAGATTTTAATACAAGCATAATAATTTTTTTTCTAGCCCTGGCTATCAACCCTAGCTAAATCCTAAAATATTGCAAGGGCCATGTTTAAAAAAAGCCTCATTTTTAGCTGGGGCCCCAATAAATGCTTTGCAGTTTACTATGCTTTTTTCTAAGATTGATTACTTTGAGTTCTTTATTTTGGATATGATAGTGCTTATCTTTTATAAACTATTTAATTAATTATTTAAGATTAATTTAAATTAATTAATTTAAATTTGTAGCCTTACTTTTTTTTATTTTAAATTTATTTTTGACTTTTAACTTCTTTATAAATTTCCATTGTCATTAAAGAGCCTTCAGACAAATGTGTTAATCAAAAGATATATGAAGCGACTTCTATAATAATATAATAGTAGTTTTACTACTACTATTATATTATCGCTTATAATTAATACTTAACTTAACGCTGCTGCTCACCATTCGTGCACCTTTACACGGACTTTTTTACCATACTTGGCCTTTCAGTTTTATTATAAATTGCTTTACTTCTACAGTAGGCTCCTTCAAATCTTAATAATCTGTCAGTATCTGCTTAATCAGTAATGAGATCAAAAACTTTGTCTCATCAGCTTAATTAGTGATAAGATCAACAATTTTTATTTGATAACTTCTGTAGTAAAGGATGAACATTATGTTATTATTGAATTAGTAAAGTAACTTTTAAAGTCAGGTGATTTATTTAAATCATGCATTTTAGTCTTTTGTCAATTGTATTTAAATTTATTGATTTATAAAATTAATCTGTAATTTTTAAATTAAAAGACGACTCAAGAAGACGTTGCTCATTTCAAAGGTCAAGAGGTCAAACTCTTGATAAAGTTAGTGTTTAAAACACTTGCATCTCACACGGTCAACTCAATGTTACATGTTAAAGAACAAGATCGTTTAATACCTTATTTAAAAGAAGTTATAAAAATCCGTATAAAAAACCAGATTGTTTGATAGTTTGTTTTTGAAAGATGTTAAACATTTATTACGAGTTATTTCAAAAAACAAAAATAAGGTTGTATTTGTAAAGTTTCAAATTTATATATTTTTCTTAATTTATATATTTATCTATATATGTGTGTTATTTATATTGTGTTTTATTGTGTATATATGTGTTAAGGTTATATGGGTTTATATTTTGTAAGTGTGTAAATATATGAAATGTTTCAATGTTTGTGGTGTGTTATATGTAACATGTTTATAGTTTGTAAGTGATAATTATGTTGTTTGCATGGTTTCAAATTGTTGTGACTGGGCTTAGTTTACAGCAAGATTGTTGACCTTGCTAGCCAAGTGGTGTACTTTGCTATAATGTGACCTGGCTTTGTTGAGAGCAAAAATATTGTCCTCGCCAGCAGAGTGGTGTATTGTCATAATAAAACACATAAATTAATTCTGTTTGTAATTAGTGTATTTCTAAAATGTGTTGAAAAAATATTGTTGAAAAAATGTGTTTTAATGTTGTTATCCTCTGTTCTTAACAATGTATGCTTTTGACAATAAATAAATTTTGTTAAAAAGCAGGCTTTACTAACAGCTCCTCCTCATTAAAATTTTTAAGAGTTTCGATTTTCTTCATTAAATATGTTTAACTCAAATTTTTTTTATATATATAAAAGTAAGTATACAGCGTGTTGAAGCATAAGTTTTAATAACTTTTGTTAAATTTATAGGATTTTTTGTATAGAGAATGTTTTCTTTATATTATTATTTTAATGTTTTGTATGTACATCAATATATATATATATATATATATATATATATATATATATATATATATATATATATATATATATATATATATATATATATATATATATATATATATATATATATATATATATATATATAGACACACACACAATAAAATATATAGAATTAAAATGTCTATACATATATTATATGTATAGACATTTTAATTTTTTGCCTTAAATTATTGTCCCTTTTTCTTTAGAATATTAAATATCTAAAAAAAAATTAAAATAGTAAAAGAAGTTTCAATATTTCCAAGTTTCTTTACTTGAAGCAAATATATGATTGTTTATAGAGGTTCTTTTAGTAGTTTTGTATTTATTTATTGCAAATCTTGCGTTAAATGCCTTTCAAAGTAATGAAAGGGTTTTGTTGATAGATGATTACATTTTATCCTTCCTTGCTAGCAGTACTTGCTGAGTTGACAGGCCTTAAATTTTTTTAATTTGCTTTATTTATGAGTTCTTATATGTAAAAAATTTGTTTTTTAAATTACATTTTTTTTTTGTTTTTTTTTTTTGATTAAATACTTATAATATTTTGTCAATAATTAATAACAACTACCATAAATATATAAACAATACTTAGTTGAAAATATTATATTAATTTATAACTTTAGTTTAAGTTTTTAATAAAACTATGTTATCTTAACACAATGCTATATATGGTAGAATATAATAGATTATAGTATTATGCTCTGTATTATTTGCTTACACTTTATTTTAGATAAGTTTAAAAAAGAAACTTCAACTTTTATTATATTAGGCATCATTTTTACACACTCCTTTGATGCCTAATTATGTCTAATAATTTAAGAAATGAAATTATTAGACTTCGTCAAAATGAAAGAAGGCAGGCTAGGCGAGCTGAGATAAACCGCCGTCGAAATGAAAGAGATGAGCCCAGGCGAGCTGAGATTAATCGTCGTCGAATTGAAAGAGATGAGTCCAGGCGAGCTGAGATAAATCGTCGTCGAAGAGATGAGCCCCGGCGAGCTGAGATAAATCGTCGTCGAATTGAATGAGATGAGCCCCGGCGAGCTGAGATAAATCGTCATCGAATTGAAAGAGATGAGCCCCGGCGAGCTGAGATAAATCGTCATCGAATTGAAAGAGATGAGCCCCGGCGAGCTGAGATAAATCGTCGTTGAATTGAAAGAGATGAGCCCCGGCGAGCTGAAATAAATTGTAATCAAAATAAAAGAAATCAGGCTAGGCGAGAACTTAATAGGTATAATATGCATCGCATAGCAAGAAATAATATTGCTATAGAGAGTAACTACCTCGGAGAGTTAAACCATAATTGTCAGTATTGCAGTGCAAAGAAGTTTTTAAATAAAACTCATTTTTTGTGCTGCCATTCAGGAAAAGTTGTATTAGCTCCTCTTTCTCTTTATCCGCCATTGTTGACTGGTTTAATGACAGGAAACCATGTTGATCATGCTGTAAATCAAAATTTTTTTAAACACATAAGGAGTTATAATTCCTCTTTATCTTTTGCTTCCTTCACTGCCGAAATAGCTCCTCCCTCAAATAATGGCCCTTTCTGTTTTAGGGTCTGTGGGCAAATTTTGCATCGTGTTGGAAATTTAAGGCCTGCAGAAGGTTGTCTGCCCAAATATTGTCAGTTGTATATCTATGATCCTAATGCAGCTTATTACATTGATTGATTGTTTTTATTGCATTTTTAATTTTCTTTTATTTATCTCTAGCTGCTGCTTCTTCTGTTACAAGTAAGTTGTTCTATTCAATTATACTTGACTTAATTTATGGATTAATTGGTTTTATTGCATTTTTAACTTTCTTTTATTTATCTCTAGCTGCTGCTTCTTCTGTTACAAGTAAGTTGTTATATTCACCTTTACTTGACTTATTACATTGATTGATTGCTTTTATTGTACCTTTTGTTTTTTAATATAGCTACAAATGTGCTTTCCAGTTTAATTAGTTAATGTAATAAATCAAGTATTAGTGAGTAAAATAAATAAGTTGTTGTGCTCACTTGTACTTAATTTATTACATTATTTGCTTTTATTGTTTTTTTACAGTAGATTTTTTGTAAGTATTACCTAGGTAGATAGTTGTATTTATATATAATTTTTTTTTCAGGCTCGAAGTCATGGGAAGATTTCCGAAAGTATCGCTCCCAGCATCCAGGCCCTCTATCTATGAGGGCCTTCCATCGCTGGTGTTTGTATGGGGACGACCATCCCTCCTTTAGATGGAGGGATGGCACCCCATACAACACGGGGAATAGAGCGGATGCTGGGAGGAGAAGACAACGCGGCTCAAAAGTTGTCAATAATTTTTTTTACATTTTAAAATGTAAAGAAATTGACAACTTTTGAGCAACTTCATTTTTTTTTTTGTAATTTTTTTTTGTAATATATTTTTGTAAATTTATTTTTGTGTTGTTTTTTAATTTTTCCCGTGAATGTTAAATGTTATCAAAGTAAATCATTTAAATAAAGACACCTTTATCAACAATGCTCATTAACTAGAAATAAAAGTCACGGTCATACATTTGATAAAGTTAATGTTAATCTCAAAGGGATTTGGTTTTCACACAATCAAATTCTATGTAGCACCTTCCAGAACTAAGAATATAAGTGTGTGGTGTTAGTAGTTTAAAATATGTATAATAAACTCAGAATAACTCAATAACCCTCAACCTAACTATGAACTAATTTTGAAATTCAAGTTGAGCTTTTTTATTTATTAATACCTCCCCTCCCAATAACTCTAATTTTCCTTAAAAAACTAATTTTTTTGTCCTTTGAAGGTGGTTCTGCTATTTAATTAATTGTTGTGATGTTTTATGCAAATAGATTTAGCTCACATTCATGTTGGTCTGTCAGGGTTATGTAAAAATAAAAAAGTAAGTTTCTTATTCGCATTTTTGAGTTTTCAAAAGTATTGATTGCATGACATGTTAATTTGTAATTAATGTGTATGATTATGCGTTTAAATAACTTTTCCATTTTTAGTTCCGTTTCTTATAGCTGACTTAATTATGGCTTACCTAAAGCTTAATATTTATGAAACAATGATTCAATTTAAATTGTATTATAAGTAGCTCTGTTGAATAAATTTTTTTTTTGTAATTTGTACTTAAGGTTATATTTTTATTTTATATCAAGAAAAATATGTTTTTAAGTAAATATCTATTTTTTTATTTTGGGATTTATTGTTTTAAATGGACATAAAAATCATTTTTGCTTTGTCTTTCATATTTCTTTTTATTATATATGAATAGGAACCATTAATGCTTTAATCACCGTTAGCACTCGAAGTTTCCATTTGCATTAAGTATCGATTTTTGGCACACACAACAGGTTTAATAACTTAAACAGTAAAAACAGCTTGAATGATTTGTTAAGAGTCTTTAAAGAAACGCTTTTACGAAAAGCATTAAATAGATAAAGCTAACTTATTTAAAATAATAAGTCTTTAACCCGTTTTTCTATATCCAAATTTACTTTTTAAATAAATGTTGATGAAAGGGTAAAATATCGTTATAGCCTACGTTAATTTAAAATTCTTTTTAAATTAAAGGAAAGAGTTTTGATACTTATTTAAATAGGGTTAATAAAATATTTTAAATTATATTATATATATTATATTTAAGAAATTATTAAACTAAATTAAATAAGATTTTTAGATTAAACAGTAAAAATAATTGTTTAAAATACGTGCGTGCAAATAATTCCTACAAATACTAAACGTAAAATAACGCTTACAAACACCAAAAGTATGTTTGCAGTGAATAAAGTTAAGTTCAAAGATAAATAGGAAGAAATGTTTAAAACTGTTTCAATAATAACATTTATTTTTAATTACTTTTGTTGTAAGTTGGGATGAAAAAAAAAGGTCACTGGAGTATGAACTCCCGGGGTGAGATGACTATATCTGTCTAAGTGTTGCGCGTCTACCAATTAGCCCATAAACGTATTTTCTATTTAGAATTTAAGATTATTTATGACGCATAAGAAGTGTAATTAAAAATTCAAAACCAACTTTGCAACAACTGAATTTAAATAAAATCTAATTAGATGTGTATATGTTATGAACGTTAACTAAGGCGTACTTTAACGGCGTCACGTGTTGAATGTTTTAGCATTTTTCTAAGTTCGTAGTCTTTTTTACGTTTTTTCTTATTAAAATTTTTATAATCGGCATAATATTAAAATCGTTTGAAGTTTTTAAAAGAACATTTTAACAGAAATGTTTTTGTCATATCAAAAAGTAAGTATAGTTTTTTATATGTACATTTTTAAACGGTTTTAAAAAAATATTGGAATAAGTATAGAAAAGGTCAGTGTGGAATAGATTTACTAAGACCCGTAGTTTACGTCCGGATAGCTATAGATAAGTATAAAAATGGTCGGTTCGGTAAAGACCCGTATTTTACGGGTCACCCCAGCTAGTGTATATTATTATAGTATGCATTTTGCACTTAATATTCAAATACATAACTCATTAAAAAAAATTTGTGTATATAATATATACATATATTATATACACAAATTAAAACTTATATTTGATGAACTATATATTTGTATATTAAATACAAAATGCATACTTTAATAATATACATACTATAATAGTAGTTTTTGTAATACTCTTTAGGTGTCAAATTTTTTTTTTTTTAAACATTTATATATATACTTTTTTCTTGACTATTATGGTGCTCCAAGAAGAATAATTAATGATAGTCTTCAAGATTTTCATTAGTGATATTTCATGATAATACAAAGTAGGGATTTCATATTAAATTTTTTTTTCGTTATTTTCTGTTAATGCAACTTAATATCACAATTATTTGAAACTTATTTTTAGTATTATAACTCAGGTATATAAACTTCTTTTTCATTCTATAACAGATCGTCAACTTACCTGTGCCTCGACACCCAACACCAATGAGGGCTGCACAGGCTTCGTTCTTAGAATGAAATCTGTGATTCATTCAAATAACAAATTGAATGGCATATTTATCACATTTAAAAAAAAAAAAATTTTTTTTTTTTCAAATAATAAATTTCATAAAAATTTATTATTTAATACTTCATAATTTTTTCAGAACTGTTGGATTTTGATAAAATTTCAGCTAAATATAAAGATAAAGCTCTTTACAATCATAATTCTGCCATCAAATTAACTCATGCCCACTTAATGGAAAATATTTAAGTAAAAATGCCATTTACATATTTTTTGTCAAAACATGTTTATGGAAAAAAATATTTAAAGATTGTTTTACAAACATAAGAATTCCTTCCTTTATAAAAGTTTAGCTAATTCTACTAAACTTTCTAAATTTTTATGGAAAATCAAAAAAAAAAAAAAAGGGGGCTTAAATCCAGTCATTTCATGGAGAATTTTAAACCAGGTAGTGCCTTTTAAACCTGGTTGGAAATTTAGCAATCTATGTTTAACAGAGAAATATCATATAATTTCATAATCGTTGAATTTATTAAACAAATGTAATCAACTTGTGTCTATGTGGCGGTACTTACAATTCATGATTCTTTGCAATGACACAAATGACAAAAGCATTTATTTAACGGGAAATAGGAAAGTAAAAAAAAGAAAAGCGGATATAGTAGTCAAAAATCTTGTCATTCAATTATTTTTATTGATTATTTTAATTCTACTGCTTATAAAAATGGTTAGGTGTAAAATATTTGCTGATTTGTCAAAGTCTATTTTTATCATATAAAAATATTTACTCCACTAGGACTGAAAATATAAATAGAGTACTTAATGCTATATAATGCAACATAGTGCTAATAGTTAAAAAAAAAGAAAAAAACTTTTAGCACATTGTTATTCAGATGTATAACTGATAACTGACATAGGGACAAACATAATACATTGACAGACACACAGAGATGAAAATAAATAAATTTTAATGGGATTAGGGTCAAGGAAAAACTAAGGTCTAATAAGTTTAGACATGGCCGAAGTTTGTTTTTTTTTTTCAATTAGATATGAAAAGTAGTTTTTTAGTCTTAAAAACATTGTAAATATTTACAAAATTGTAATTTTTTAATTTTAACATTAATTAGAGTATTTTTATCAGAATAATTACATTTAACTCAGTAGTTATTTGATGATATTAATAACCTTAACAAATATATTGGACCACTGCAGTTATTCAATACATTATTTTGTCTGCAAGGTAATCAGTTATTTTCAAATTGAGAAAGAAAAGAGCAATATATATTACCTTCGACGGATCAACTTTATCAAATAACTTTAGTACGTTTAATGTTTGTTCCTCGATCGATTCTGAAGAACCATGACCATGTCCGTCGTGATCATGATGATCATCTCCATAATACCTCAAACTTGCAGCAAATGGTGATGGTTTTGGGAGACATTGAAGCTTTAAAACATTAATATTTAATAAATGAAATGTTCTTGTTTGGTTTGTAAATGCAGCTATTTTGTTAATTTGTTTTTTTGGCATACATCTATTAATATTACGCAACGCATGAGCACCCCGAAGCGCAGCCATATTTAATAGAGATCTGCTGAAGAAGGAAGTTTGTCATATACTAATCATTATTTAAACAAACGGAGAGCAGCGATTAAAGTCATAATCGGTCCGCGAAAGTACGAAAGAAAGAAATAAAAACTGTGATAAATAGCACTCATTCCATCGACATGTCATTGTTCCTAACGCATGGCTAAAACTTCACACTTAATTTTTTGTAAATAAAATCTTATGACAGTTATTAATCTAATTGTAATATGTTTTTGTTTAAACTCATTGCAGCTGAGTAATTTTTTAAATATTTAAAGTTATACGTTCCTGCAAACCACTTTCTACTCAATGGAAATGTGTACCAAGTAATTTGCGCGGTTCAAAACTTTTGAACCAGAAAACAAAGATAATCCCAGGACGTTTAACTTAAATGACTAACAGTGCAATTCAAAAGTTTGTTTCCTTCATTTTTGACTTTATTATTTTTATTCTTATAACATCTCTCTGGAATTTATAATTTTCTAGGTTTATGACAATTAATGTTTTGTGTTTATTTTTTTAAAAGCAAGGCGTACTGATATAAGTTTGATTTGGTTAGACAGGGTCATAGAAAATAAGCCTTTTACTTTGACAATATCATTTTAATATAATATAATAATATAATAATTGCTGTACAAACTATTTAAGTTTGGTGAGCCAAAACTACGTAGTGTATTGACTGTAACAGCCGTTAAATGTAAAATTTTAAAATTGAGTATAAAAAGTTTCTAAATAAAATTTGGTATCAAAAGTTCAAAATTTTGTCTATTCTATTTTTGAACGTGTTTTTGTTTGCAGAATCGATTGCATCTTGTGACAATAAATTCCAATCGTCGACAACTCTATTTGTTAAACAATAATACCCGGATGATTTTTTAGTATATTGTCGATGAAGTCTTTTATTATGACGATATCTGGACATGTTGTTGTAAAATTTTAAAGGCTCTTCAAACCTTATATATTCAGTTGAATTTAATATTTTAAACATTTCTATTAAATCGCCCCTTCTTCTCCTTTCTTGTAATTTCATTTTTGAATTTCATTTTTTAAATTTCAGTTTTGAACTCATGATATTTTTTCCTTTGTTTCATGAAAGTTTTTTATAAATAATAACAATAAAAGGACATATCAACATTTTTTGAGACCAATAATTCAAAAATAACATTATTGAAAATAGCAATCTAAAATAAAATATCAGTGAAATCTTATTTTTAAATAAAACTACAGCAGGAAGAATTTTTCTCCATAAGATTTTTATAACTAACAAGCAACGTGAACATCAGGTGAACTAAAATCCGTTTTAAAAGTCATAGTTTTTCTGGCTGTCCTAAACTGCTTTCTCTTATAATCAAAGTGTAATTTTTAAAAATAGATAAAGTGATAGAATGATACATTGAGTCTTCTTTGATTAAAGAGGTAGTTGAAGGCAAGATGTTTGTTGAATCCAAGAAAATTTCGACTACAAAACGCCTTTATGCTTTTAATTTTGGTTTTAATGCACGGAAAGGACACTGTTTAAATTTATATATTCTGATCCGCAATTCGTACACAGTGCAACTTGTAGATGAGTAATGGTCTAAAAATCATTTTATAAAATTGTTTTTATTTAAAATTATCCATTTTCTTCTTAATTGAAAAAAAGATTCTCTTAACAACTGACATTGGTTTTGTTTATGTGCATTTATCCCCTATAAAGATGACGTCGAAATCTCATATGCCGAAACCACCCCTTATGAAAGTCCGTAATTAATATCGACGTTGATTCCACGTTGATTCCACGTTGATTCAACGTCTATATTACAAGTTCGACCGTTCGTATTGCATTTTGAGAACTCAAATACGCATGCGTAACTTTACTAGTTTTCATAAGGCCTTCTGTTGCCTTTTTTATAAAAAGGCAACAGAAGGCCTTAAATGTTTGTTGTTAAATTTGAAAATTTGACAATATCACATGGTTTAACTTGGGATGCAGTTAGTTAGATAAATATTAAATAGATATTTTTTTATGACGGTAATATTTCATGAGTGTGGATTGCAAGTAGGACTTTGCTTTAATTTTTCTTACAGTTTTTTAAGTAAGTTTTTTTTTAGAATTTTATTATATGGTTTTTCTATGTATGTTAGTATATTTAACTATACTAATTTTATATCATATAAATATAAAGTATATATTATTTTATATTTATATGATATAAAATTAGTATAGTTAAAGTATATATAAAATATACATATATATATATATATATATATATATATATATATATATATATATATATATATTTGTTGGATTTGATTCTAAACTAAATGATATGTTGAACTATGTATGTGCCGATTGTAAAATGAATTTATCTAAAGAAAATTTATATTGAAAAAATATGTGCGCAAGGAAAAGATCTCCAGAAATATGGTTACTTCAAGTTAAAGCGAAGTCCTTTGCAAGTCCTTTGTGAAGTCCTTTGCAAGGTCATCGCATCACCGTTGAAAAGGAAAAAAGAAATAAAAAAAGGCAATTAAAAACTGAGTTAATTACCAATTGTTTCAAATAAAGAATTCAAAAATATCAAAATAAAAGAAGAGTAAAACAAAAAAACATATAAAAAAAGAAACTTTTAACAAACAAACACTCAAAAACAGCATTTAAAAAAAAAAAAGATAAGTTGATAAATTAATAATCACATTAAAAACATAATAAAAAACAAATTCAGCGAAAAATAAAAGCATTTATTTTATAGGTGATTTAAACCTTGAACATGAGTCTGAACATGAGTCATTTAAACACAAATATAAATAATTTCTTTAACGTCATATATCAGAAAGGCTTTACTCCACTAATTAATAAACCCACAAAAATAACTAGAAGAAGCGCAACAATCGTAGATCAAATAGTCACCAATGAGTTCAAATCAAATATAAAAACAGGAATATTTAAATGCGATATTTCAGATCATTTCCCTGTATTTCTTATCTCACAAAAATGTGATAACATTTATGCACAAAAAGTTAAAAAAAATACGCGATATATAAATGAAAAATCCATGGAAAATTTTAATACTTTTTCATCAGATTTAAATTGGGATGACCTCCTTCATATTGAACACGTGACCTCCTTCATATTGAACACGTGACCTCCTTCATATTGAACACGTGACCTCCTTGATATTGAACACGTGACCTCCTTGATATTGAACACGCAGATAAGGCATAAGATAAGTTTATTGATAAATTACAACAACTTTACAATTCGGCTTTTCCTGTAGTTACAAAATGTGTGAAAAAAGTATTAAATCCGTGGATAACGCCTGGAATTATAAAGTCATCGAAAAAAAAGCAACGACTTTATAATAAGTTTCTCAAAAAAAAAAACTTTCAATAATGAAACTAATTACAAAAATTATAAACGTATTTTCGAGATGGTTATCAAAAAGTCAAATAAATATTACTATACTGAGCATTTAATAAAACATAAAAATGATTCAAAAAAAACTTGGAAACAATCAAGGAATTAATTGGCACAAAACAAAATGACGGAAATAGTCTTCTTATAAAACTAAGCATTAAAAATAAAACTATTACAAATAAATCTTTAGTTGCTGAAACACTTAATCCATACTTTGTCAGTGTAGGTTTCACTTTAGCGTCGAAAATAGAAACTACTGAAGTAAACTTTGAGTCATATCTTACTCCTAATAAGACCTCTAAGATGGATAATTATGAAATTACTGAAAAAGAACTCTTAGATTCAGTATATTTTTAAAACTAAACAAAAGTGTGGAGTTTGATAATATTAGTTGTAATTTAATTAAAAAATCAATAAAGTACTTAACAATCGCTCTTTTACATATTTTTAATCTCTCTTTAAAACTAGGCATTTATCCGGAGAAACTAAAAATTGCGAGGGTCATACCTATTTTCAAGTCAGGAGACATATTAAATTCTGAAAATTACAGACCAATTTCAATATTGACTACTTGACTGTAACTTGCAGTGTTCCCGAAGGCCTAATTCTGGGTCCACTTTTATTTCTTATTTATGTAAACGATTTCCATAAGTCTTCAAACATTTTAAACTCAGTTTTATTTGCAGATGATACGAATTTATTTTGTTCTAATGGAGATATCAACCTCTTATTTAAAATAGTAAACAAGGAATTTTTTAATCTAGCGGAATGGTTTAAGGCAAACAAATTGTCCTTAAATTTAAATAAAACTAAGTATTTTTTTTTCATAGACTTCACGATAAAAAAAATTTTCCATTAAAACTTCCTGATCTTTACATTGGCAACTCTAAAATAATTAGAGAGTCATCATAAAAGTTTTTAGGAGTGATACTTGACGATCATATATCAATAAACAAAGTCTAAAACTAGTTTACTTTGGACTAATTCATTGCTTTATCAGCTATGCAAACATATCATGGGCAAGTACTCAGCCATCAAAACTTAAAAAAATCTATAGTCTACAAAAACACGCATGCAGAATCATTTACTTTAAAAATGAGCAGGAGCATGCAAAACCTATAATGAAAGATATGAAAATGATGGATGTTTTTGAAATAAATATCTATCAGCATTTAATTTTTATGTATCAATTTAATAATAATCTCTCTCCTACAAACTTTACTAACAAGTTTGAAATAAACATAAATGAAAACTACTATCTAAGAGCAAATATAAGTAACACATACAAACTGCCTCAAAACCTTAATAAATTTACTGAATATAGCATTGCATATCGGGGGCCAAATATATGGAATAGATATCAAAAAGGATCTAAATGTATGGCAAAGTCATTAAGTTCATTTAAGTTTCTGATAAAATAAAAATTTTTAAAATTTGATTATTATTTGTGCTTAAAAGGATTGCAAAGTAATTTTCTTTATAATCTTATTTATTTGTTTTTATTGATCAGCGCAGCAGTTTTATGCCCATTAGGGTTTTTAATTTAATTTAATATCCATAACCTAATGAAAATGTATATAGGGGGCTCTATGAAAAGATTGCGATGACGTTTTGTCATCTTCATCTTC